GGTTCTTGGTTTTATAAAATTACTATCTGCTTTTTTTCCTGTCTCTTCTCATTATAAACAGCATATTGTAAGCGAGGCATTTCTGTTTTACTCTTAGGTTTTGTAATAATTTGTAGGGTGATTTTTTTTTTTTCATATATCCTTTCTGTTCCACATACGACCTCTGTCTAGAAGGAAGCTTGTTTTGATCTTTTTAACCGGTTTTATTTCTTGTTATTGGGAGGACCTAGCTGGGCGTTGTTGCTAGAGTTTTCCTGCCTGGCCCACAGTCAGGACAAATCTCTCTCACCCGCCAGTCCCAAGCCGCTCAAACCCGATCAAATAAACACAGAGACTTATATTGGTTTCAAACTGTATGGCCGTGGCAGGCTTCTTGCTAACTGTTCTTACAGCTTAAATTAATCCATTTCTATTAATCTATACCTTGCCACGTGGCTTGTGGCTTACCGGTACTTTACATCTTCCTTATCCTGATGGCGGCTGGCAGTGTCTCCTCCTCAGCCTTCCACTTCCCAGCTCTATTCTCCTCCTTGTCCCGCCTACACTTCCTGCCTAGCCAATGGCCAATCAGTGATTTATTTATTGACCAATCAGCAACACATTTGACATACAGACCATCCCACAGTACTTCCCCTTTTCTTTTCTTAAAAAGGAAGGTTTTAACCTTTACACATCTCCAAAGTCAGCTTGGTATGTTTGGGAATTTGGGCGTAGCTTCTCTTACTACTTCCTGCTGGAGGGGGGTGCTGTATCTTATGGGGAAACAAAGAAAATTTTAGGATCATGGAGTAGTCCGTGAGGCTGTATCATCTGAGCCAGTTGTCTTGAAACGGTTCTGGATGTTGGATCATCTGGGCCATGGTGTCATCGGAGACCTTTCAGGGGGTCTTGGCTGGTCAAACCTGATGTATCTTACTCTGGAACAAATCCATAGCCTCTTGCTTTCTGTGGAAACAAAAGAGACTCTTTTCCAAAGCAACATATCCTTACATCCAAATTTTGAAGTCAAAGTATCTTTAAAATATACGTACTGGTTTAACTCAGCTTCCTTTACAATCAAACATCTCTCTGTAGTTAAGAATCCCAAAGACAACACAATCCAGACTCTCTGTGTAATAGTCATCTCTACGTGGCTTATTTTTTATATTAATTTTACTGTCTCTTTAAAGACTTTATTTTTTAAAACCATGTATTTGTTTCTATACTGTATATATCACCTTTTTTTTTGTCTCTTTCAAGCCTACGTATATTTTACACACATTTTAAACTATTACATCTGAATCTGTCTTATTGTGAATCTATTGCTTTAAGCTGCAGCAGCTGTGGCTGCTGGCTCCGCCCACCTCAGCTTCCCAACATGGCGTGGTACTTTACCACCAGCTCTGGGAGCTATCGTGGGTCTATGCTTTTATCCAAGCAGCGTGTAGCCCAGAAACCTCTTTTTTTGTTTTGTACTAGCAAAGGCTAAATCCACAATGTAGCTTAATGTGTCACTTGCAGAGGCCTCATTCCCGCCATACTGCAGGTCGAGCGCGCACGCCAGCAACCCGCCAGTAGCTCAAACCGGCAGCTGCCGCTCATTTGAGAGAGACAATTAGGAAGCTGTTTTTAGCTCCGTTTTAGAATCTTTTTTCTCAGGTTTTAGGTGGAAACTCTTGCCACCACGTTGGACACCATTTGTTGCTAGAGTTTTCCTGCCTGGCCCACAGTCAGGACAAATCTCTCTCACCCGCCAGTCCCAAGCCGCTCAAACCCGATCAAGTAAACACAGAGACTTATATTGGTTTCAAACTGTATGGCCGTGGCAGGCTTCTTGCTAACTGTTCTTACAGCTTAAATTAATCCATTTCTATTAATCTATACCTTGCCACGTGGCTCGTGGCTTACCGGTACTTTACATCTTCCTTATCCTGATGGCGGCTGGCAGTGTCTCCTCCTCAGCCTTCCACTTCCCAGCTCTATTCTCCTCCTTGTCCCGCCTACACTTCCTGCCTAGCCAATGGCCAATCAGTGATTTATTTATTGACCAATCAGCAACACATTTGACATACAGACCATCCCACAGTAGGGCGTCCTGGTTTAAGTTGTTATAATGTATGCTGAACTACAACATGCATACAGAATCTTATCTAGTGCTTGCCTGGGTGGCCAGAGCAGTGTGAGAGCTTGTCCCACGCCTTCACTGAGGAGGAATTGTCTCCTTTGTGGTATTTAAGTGGACCAGGGCTCTCACTGGTCTGGAGCTACTATTTCTTCACTCAGCTCCTTTGCCCTTTTCTCCTAGTCATTCATCTCTTCTTGTCTTTGTCATCTCCATTTCCAGATGGTCTGGGTGACCCACAAAGAAATTCAGTTTAAAGTTCTCTCTGTTCTTGGGTGATTTTAGATGTCGACACGGTGCTAAGACACACATAGATGAATGATAGTTCTCTGCCTTTTCCCTATAGAACTTATGTCTCCTCTGCTCCAAAAGGCTAGCTGACCTAAACACACACACACACACACACACACACACACACACACACACACACCACACACGATAGTAATTGTTCTTATTAAAGTAGCTAATGACATTACATATCAAGAGCATAACCATTAATTATAGAAAAGCTTGATTTAAGAGCGCTGTGCCATGCTGTGCCATCCCAATAAAAGTTGGAACTTTGTGACAGTTATCATGTACCAAGCACTTTCCATAAATAAACTCTTATTTAACCCTTTACAACAATGTAGCAAGAGTATAATGCACTATCCATCAGATATCTTTATATCAAAGCTGTCATTAGACGTCAAGTATTTATTTCCTGGCCTTCAGTCTTATCTTCATGTCATTATTAGAACATTGTGCTGAGTTCCTTCCAACACTTAATACCTGACATTTGAAGATAATCCTAAGGAGCTACTGCTTAGCGGGTGTCTGTAAGTAAGGTATGCTTGTGAGTTAGTTAGTATAAGGAATGCTAAGCTCCTCCAGTGGGGTCAGCTCACCAGTTTCTTCTGGGAGGGATAATTGGAATCCAAGCACTTTAGTCTGTCATACACACTCACCTCTGATTCTGTCCCACAGCAATGTCATAAAGTGCTTGCCTCTATTGTGATGCCTGATTGGTAGTTTGCATCTTTGTAGACCATTTAGTTTCATCAAAACATGTTTGTGTGGTTACAAAGAGTATGACAACCATTGTCTTAGTTACTTCCTGTCAGTGTGACCAAATGCCATGACCAAGACAACTTACATCCGAAAGAGTTCATTTGTGCTGACGGTTTCCGAGGTTTAAGAGTCCGTCATGGCAGGGAAGTGTGACATCGAGCGGCAGGCATGACGGATGGAGCAGAAGATGGAGGAGGCCCTCATTGTAAACCTCAGGCAGGAAGGAGAAAAAAAACAAACTCAAATGGCGAAAGTCTTTAAGCTCTCAAAACCTGCCTCCAGTGACATACTGCCTCCAGCAAGGTCACACCCTAAGCCTCCCCAAACAGCCACCAACTGAGGACCAAGTATTCTAATACTAGAGACTGTAGAAGATACTTGCTAGCCAGACCTTCATACCCACTGACTTCGAGATTGCCCTGTCTGTCATTATTGGATTATTGAAGCACTTATGTCTTCGTGGGTGGCATCTTTCATCACCCATGCCTGTCTTTGCTACAGACTTTGCCTCATTACACACCGCTGACCAATAACTCTGAAGGGGAAAACGATGATATATATATATAATTGTATCAGAACCAATGATTTGGGTTCTCTTTAAACAGTAAAATATAGTAGGTTTGTCTTATCACTGATGCATTGCTCATCTAAGGACAGAACCCACAAAAGAAACTGTTTTTGATCCTTGTCTGGTTAATTAACAGCAAAATCCCTTTTTTAATCATTACTGATTTTTTTTCCCCTTTCCCATCTTTACAGTTCACGCATCCTGCAAATGCTCAGTTACATCAGTAGTAGAAAATTTAAGAACCCTTGGAGAACACATTTAATCTAGAGACTTAGCTGTCGCGGTTGGAAATCTTTCTAATCTCTGCACTGAAAGTGAGAATTACCTATAAATTTTGACACCATAATATTTAGCTATCCTTGTTGACTAATTTAATAAGGAGTTGAAAAACACAAAATTAAAAAAAACCTTAAAATTAGGAAAATTAGGAAAAAAGAAAATGGACAAAGGTACCTTGTTGATCCATCTTCATAGTCAGTGTGGGAACGATGAGGGACAGATCTCACCTGTGGCTTTTAATTGAATACTTGTGTTCCTGTTTTGGAATTTGCTTAAGCAAATTGTTCATGTCTTTAAAATGTAGTTTTTCTGATTTTATCTTCTTTAGTATTGTTACGAATTGTATACACTTCAAACTTTCTTGACTAAGAAATGTACCATAATTAATATTAGTATGCGTCATTTATAATGATATAAATATGTTTATAACAATGCAGAACTTGTGCGCACTAGGCAAACCCTCTACCCTGGAGCCACATCCTCTTTTCCCCTTGATTTTTTTCCTTTGTTCCTTCCTCTGTGTTACCACTTTCTCTAAGTCAGCTGGCTGTTTACAAATTTGCATCCATTAAAAGATTTTCTAGTCTGAAAAGTTTGACTTTTTACTCATGCGCTCTAAGGGTGAAGCTGTGAAGAAAGTGTCCCACTATCACAGTAAGTGGGGAAAAAAGGAATAGCCTTGAAAACTGGAGGCTTCTTTATCTCAAGCATTTCATAGTTTGTTGCAAACTTGGAAAGGTTGTAATTTTAATCACTGGGGGCTTTTCTTTCAGTGGTACGCTGCAGACAATCCTATTGGGGTTTTCCATCCACTTCAGTTATCACTGCTGCTGCTACCATCCCCTAATGACTACAAGTTGGTTTCATTTTATTTACAATCAAAACTGCACGATGAGAACGATGCATTAGTAAGAAAACGAAGTGGAGAAATGTCCTGAAGTTTGGTACATTTCTTTTGCTTAAACAGCCTCAGTAATGAACATTTTTCTCAATTTTTCTTAGTACCCAGCGTTCATGGAAAAAACAAGCCATTGATCACTTACGTGGGGGATTCTACTGTCCTGAAGTGTGAATGTCAAGATGGTCTTCCTTTAAATTGGACTTGGTACATGAGTAATGGAAGTGTACAGGTAAGATCGTATTTGCTGGGGCTAGGAAGACAGTTCAGTTGGTCAGAGTGCTTGCCCTTTAAGTAGGAGGGACCAGAGTGTGGATCCCCTGTGCCAATGTAAGAAGCAGGGCATGCCATTTGAGAGATGGAGACAGGACCATCCCATAAGCTTCCTGAGCCAGACAGGCTAGTCTTGACAGATGAACTCCAGATTTAGACTCTGTCTTAAAAACAAAGCAGAGAATAATTGAGGAAGGGCACTTGATGTATCTCCAGCCTCCACATACGTCACACATAAATGTGCTCAAACACCCACACAGACATGTATACACATGTGTATTCGCAAAAGATCTTTTTTTTCTGATTTGAAGAAAACAAAAGAATCTTTTCATTCGTAAATAAGATTATAGCTGACTTGTATACACATGTGTATACACAAAAGATCTTTTTTTTCTGATTTGAACAAAACAAAAGAACCTTTTCATTCGTAAATAAGATTATAGCTGACTAAAAATTAATTCCTAGGGAAACTAACACTTCTGTTATAACTTATAATTACTGAGAAACCACAGTGATAAATGGAGTTGTCATTGGATGTTTTCAGCATATTCCATTATATGTGTGAAGAAACTCTCAGTGTTTTATTGGATCATACTTTTTTCTTTTTAGGTTTTGCAATTTATTTAAATTTGCAAATTAAATTAAATTAAATTATTGCAATTTAATTAAATTCTTTGAAAGAAAACCAAAATTCATTTTCAGATGGGCACGGTGGTGTGTGCCTGTGATCCCAGTACCAAGAAAACTGAGACAGGAGGATTGACATATGTATGAGGCAAACCAAAGAGATGGTTCCAGGTAAAGCCAGGCTAACCAAAGCTGAATGGTGAGGCTCTGCTACAAAACAAAATTAAAAATAAAAAGAGAGAGAATTTTTGCCTGGTTTAATGACATGTGCCTGTAATCCCAGACCTGTGGGAAGCTGAATGAAGCAGGGGGATCATTGTATTTTCAAGGCCATATATAGAGGTTTTGGTGTTATCCCAGACTACATAATGAGGCAAAACCAAAGCATTTTTAATTGACCAGGTTAGAAATAATTTCATCAGAAAATCCTCACTCACTTCTGCTTCTTGCCAGTAACTAGGAAAACAAAAAACAAAATCCCAGGCTCCTTTTCTGGTTTGTCTCCTGAAATATCTGACGTGGGATGTAATGTACTGGCACTGTTTGAAAAAGATGAATGGAAATTCGGTCACTTAAACTTAGGTCTTAGTTTTTGTGGAGTGTCATTAGCACGTTGGGGTGTTTCACACATTGGAAAGAAGTGGATTTCAAGGCTTATATAAATCTAAGACAATTGGCTTTGTACAGCTGATGTGAAGAAAACAAGAGTATTCAATGAATAAATTATCGCTGGCTTCCTGTCCTTTCCTGGGTAGCTCCAAAGAGCTTAAAACTTGGGGCATGGTGCTGTGGGGTACCCTTTTCTTGCCTCGATGCTGATGAGTTTTCATATTAAGGTCCTATTGAAGAAAAGCTGCAATTCTAGATGGGACACATGAAACAGAACAAATCTTTCAATGAAGTTTTAAAGAAACAAAGTTGGTGTTGCAGTGAAGCTGTTGAGGAGGGTGGAGGAAGGGCCTGGGAAGGAGCGTGTCTACTTCTGTAATAACATTGCTTTAATGTTCCAAGAAAATAGCTCTAGATCATGCAGGGGTCAGCTTGGACAATGAGGCCGCTGCCTTTTGTCTTATGGATGATTAGGACAGGTGTCTACACATGTTGTTGAAGTATAAATTGTAAAAACAAATACCAGTTGTGATGTTTGGAATATATAGCCTAATTTAAAGTTGTTTTTTTTTTGGGGGGGGGTTGCTGTATGAATCATTCTCTTCATTTTCTTTGACCTTGGTCATAATCAGCTGTGAGACAGGGACAGGGAAGGGGTCACAGGTCAACATTTTAGGTCAAGGACCATTTCAAAATGTTAAGTCATCATCTGTATCACAATTAGCTCTGTGCTTTCTTAAAATTCAGTCCTTTGATTTATTGTCTCTAATTCATATAGTGGTTCATGAATATTCCAGGCCATTCTATGCCTGTGTACATAGACGTGGGTCAAGGTTGTTCTTTTTTTCCCCTTTTGGCAAATACGTTTACAGAGAATTCTTCCTGGGATAACCTGAGAACATTTGTATGCAGATTTGCATTTATTGAGCATCTCAGTTGAGTGATAGAGCAGTGAAGGTATCCAATGACCTGAGGATAAAATTTAATTTAGATTAGGTATAACAGCTTCTAAATATGACTTTGCGAGCCTCAGGAAAACCCAGCAGCTCCCAGAAGCCAGTCTACCTGGGAGAGAAAAAAACTGGGACATGAAAGGAAGAAACAGGCATCTAGGATGAGAGAGCTGGTCATTGGAGGTCATCAGCTAAGGAGCCTTGACGATTTCAACTACAGTTGCAGTGTAGGCAACTCAGTTGTCAGATTAGTGATCTATCGTCAGGAGTGACCGGAATGATCTCTTTAAATGTGTATTGTTTCCTTTTCACCTACCTGTCTCCACTTGTAGAGAGCGAGTCGTATATGAGAAAGGAAAACCAGGGTCTGGAGAGATAGCTTCATGGTTAAGAGCACTGGCTGTTCTTCCAGAGGACCTGGGTTCAGTTCCCAGCACCCACATGGCAGCTCAGAACTGTCTGTAATTCCAGTTCCAGGGGACAAAACACCAATGTACGTATGTACATTAAAAATAAGGAGAAAGAGCCAGGCGGTGGTGGCGCACGCCTTTAATCCCAGCACTCGGAAGGCAGAGCCAGGCGGATCTCTGTGAGTTCGAGGCCAGCCTGGTCTCCAAAGCGAGTTCCAGGAAAGGCGCAAAGCTACACAGAGAAACCCTGTCTCGAAAAACCAAAAAAAAAAAAAAAAAAAAAAAATAAAAAAAATAAGGAGAAAGGAAAACTAGATGACTGGAAATCTTCTGCCTTGGATTCTCACCTACTATTTACTAATGACAATCTAGACATATATTTGTGGGTTCAGACATTCAGGGCTAAGTCCTCATAACTAAATAGACTTTTTCCCTTGCTTGCTGCTGGAATACCAACCTCCTGCAATGACTCATACATTTTAATATGCCCCTTTCCAGTAAGTGGTTTTCTTGGCTCCGTCTTCTAGCTTTGCCCAGAATTAGCTCTCCTGGGACATGTATCTCTTTTTGCATTATGTAAGGATTTTAATGTCTCCGTGCATTAGGTTCCTATTGATGTTTACAAGGATGATAAGTATGTTATAAATGGATCCTATGCTAATGAAACACGACTCAAGGTAAAGCATCTCTTGGAGAAAGATGGAGGCTCCTACTGGTGCCGCGCGGTCTTCCAGTTAGGTGAGAGTGAAGAACGCATTGAGCTGGTGGTGCTCAGCTTCATGGTGCCCCTCAAGCCGTTTCTCGCCATCATTGCTGAAGTTATTCTCTTAGTGGCTATCATTCTGCTTTGTGAAGTATACACACAGAAGAAAAAGAATGACCCAGGTAAGGTTTCTTACTTTTTCTATTACCGTATCGCTTAGTTATGGTGTGTATTATGGCCTAACACATAGTCACTCACAAGTTCTGGGGAAGGGCTGGGAAGATGGCTCACTGCGTAAAAAGCGTTTGTTACACACGTGTCAGCACCTGAATTCACATCTCCAGAGCCCATGTAAAAAGCATAACATTGGCATCTGTAATCTTAGTGCTTCTATGTTGAGGAGGGAGGTAAAGGCAGCAGACCCCTGAAGCTTGTAAGCCAGCTAGCCTGGCATACTCAGTGGAGAGCAGCAGGAAGATCCTATCAAGGAAGTCATCAAAGACTGACAAACACCTGAGGTCATGCTGTGACCTTCACACCCAGGTTATGCTGTGCACACATGCATTCACACATATAAATGTGCACATACACAAATATACCCACGTATACACACACACACACACACACACACACACACACACACACACACACACACACACAAAATAAGTAAAAATGGTTTGTAAAGAACAGTTCAATTTTTCATATTTGGGCCAATATTTATGTTTGTAACCATAATGGTAATGGTCTCTGAACCTGGACTCTTGGCCTTTATTTCATCGGCCTGAAAGATGTTCATGTTAAAATTAAAATCTTTCGTCTCTTGGTGCCACTATGCGTGAGGTCGGGAATGTGTGTTGACATTGGAATATTAGGAAAAAGTTGGATTCCTTCAGATTTTTTTTCACTTAAATAATTCATTTTAACCATTTGTGTCAGGGGGATTGCGTGCGTGTGTGGGTGCTCGTGTGTGCGTGTGTATTTGGAGGTCAGAGCATAAACTTGACTTAGGGATGCTGTCTACTCCTTTTCGACACATGGTCTTTCGTTGGCCTGGTGCTCACCAATTAGGCTAGAGTGGCAGCCACTGAGCTCCATGGATCCTCTTATTTCCCTCCCCCTGCCTAGCATTACAAGTGTACACCACCATGCCTGCCTTTTTATGTGGGTTCTGGGAATTGAGCTTTGGGCCTAATTCTTCTACAGCAAGTGCTTTATGACTAAACTGTATCCCCAGTCTCCATTCAAAAAGTAATTTATCAAGTATCCTAGATTCTCATAAAGTCAAGGTTGCATTAGCGTTATTTTAAACCCCTGTCTGTTGGGCTGTTGGATGAGAAACCCTTGATAGAAATTGTCACGTTGTCTTAGTTAGGGTTTCTATTGCTGTGACAAAAACACCATGACCAAAAAACAAGTTGGGGAGGAAAGGGTTTATTTGGTTTACACTTCCAGATCACAGTCCATCATTGGAAGAAGTCAGAACAGGAACTCAAGCAGGGCAGGATCCTGGAGGCAGGAGCTGATGCAGAGGCCATGGAGGAGTGCTGCTTACTGGCTTGCTTCCCCTGACTTTCTCAGCCCACCTTCTTATAGAAACCAGAACCAGCAGCCCAGAGATGGTACCACCCACCATGGACTGGGCCCTCCCCCATTGATCACTAAATGAGAACAGGCCTTACAGCTGGATCTCATGGAGGCATTTCCTCAACTGAGGCTCCTTCCTCTCTGATGACTCTAGCTTGTGTCAAGTTGACACACAAAACCAGCCAGTACACATGTATTCTGTATTCTTTTCTGATTTTCATACTCTCTCTCTCTCTCTCTCTCTCTCTCTCTCTCTCTCTCTCTATATATATATATATATATATATATATATATATATATATATATATATATATATTATGGCATCATAGTTTTGAAAAAATCCCAGGATGCCAAACAGTTCTGATCAGAGATTCAGGTAGAGTCTGGCATCCTGTTATGAGGAAGCAGAGGGAGACAGAGCTATCAAAGGTGGCACTTCTCTCCTTTCCATGGGAAAAGTTGTTAGGGCGCAGGTTGAATGGAACATGTAAACATGGCGTCGCATGCTCAATTGTTATATCCTTTTTGTTTGTCTTTACACAGATGATGGGAAAGAATTTGAACAAATTGAACAGCTGTAAGTATTTTTTAATTGATTTTTTTTCCACTTGGGTAAAATGCACATAAATATGAAATGAAGTGAAATGTTTGCAGTTAGAAACAAGAAAAACCACAAGAACATGGTGATGTGCGTGCTGTTTTCTGTGTTCATCTGTGTGATGGTGAAGTTTGGTATCCAGTGTCTACCCCTCCATCAATAACTGTTCCGGTTTTATTGCTGAGAAATGGGTTCATCGTGGTGTTCCTACACACATTTTTTGAATGAGTAATAATTTATTTGTGTGAGTGCTTGGAACAGACTTTGTTGCATAGTAAACAGATGTATTAATTTATTTAAATGATTCTTTACCTTGGTGTATTTTTGATCACTGATGAAGCTTCTGAAGAATATAATGTTCTTGAGGCTAGCTAGATGGCTTGGTGGTTAAGAGCGTTTGATGCTCTTCTAGAAGACATGGGTTTAATTTCTGGCAGCCACATGACAGCTCTCGACAGTCTATAACAGCAATTCCAGGGAATCTGATGTGCCCTCTGCTTTCTGGAGGCATATGCACACACATGGTATACAGACACATGCAAGTAAAACATCCAGATAAAGAAAAATGGGGGAAAAAAGGAGTACAATGTACAGGCCTCACTAGATCAGAACAATCAGAACCACTTAGGTTGAAACATCTTCTGGTGGTACTGTTCTTTCACAGTGAAGATCACTGGCCTAGGATTCTATGAGAATTACTTTAGAGAGAACTCATGTTTTGTTCTTTTTAAGAGTAGAACATGAGGATAGCTGGGAATAAAATGGCCAGGGATCTACTTTAGTTTGGGGATGGTGGAATACTTCTTCCCAACCAGATAATAAAGGCTCCCAAGACAGGGACTAAAATCTGAGAAACAACCAGTGTCTGTGAACCAAAAGAGACCAGACAAGACCACTGAGAGGTGCTCATGAAAGGGAAGCCCCCACCCCCAACCATTACCAATACAAGATGGTGCTGGAAGTTGTCTTTTATCAGCCCAAGGGGCCGTGAGCTGTGAGTCTGTAAGAGCAAGAGGGAGGCAGAGTTCTTCACATACACGTAGCAGTGGTCAAAGACACAGTTCATATATAGTAGGTAAAATGAACCAACAAGACAATGTGCTTCCAAGTTAAGGACACAAAATTATAAGTGGAACTTATGTCCCTGATTCCCATTTCCTAGACCTCTTTCTTATTTTTGTAAAGTCATAAAAAGTGTGGCAGGAGTATGTAAAGAGTTAAACTGGCCCCTCTTATGTATCTTCTTCTTTCCGCTCACCCCCATCATGTCCATTGTCTCCGACCACTCCTGTGTAGTCACTAGGGGCTGTGGCCGCATCCTAATTTGCTATGCAGAATGGACTATCAAGTCCATGTAGTTTAATGTTTATTACCACAGCTTACCCCACTCAATGCCCCCTCAGACATCTTAAAAACAATGCCAACATGATTCAATCTATACTATAACAAATTATTTTATTCCTTTTATTTAATATTAGAATAACATACATGTTCTCCATCCTTTATTCCAATGCAGCCATCACAATGAATGTCTTACTTTTGAGTATAAATTAACAAGGGTATTTTAAGCTCATTTAGATCAACCCTTGCTATAGTTCATTTTAGATATTCTAGTTAATTTAGTTAGGAACTAATTTTTTTTCACAGATAACAGTTTCATATGTTATATGTCTGATATACTTTACATATATTTATGTGTGTTGGTATCCCTAGTCTTTTGTAGTTTCTTGGTAAAAATGATTTAAAAAAATAACAATAAATGTATAACATCAAAAGCAGTGACTTCTCTCAAGGAACTCAATGAGAAGTCAACTCATTTCTTTGATTATTGTCCCCACCATCCAAGACTAGGGCAGTCCAGTTTTGATGTGCATGGTTGGGTGGCTGGTTTTTACTTGTCAATAATAACAGCCTCATGAGTATAGGCCTGCCCACAACATCTCCACTGCTCTTCACTGTGCTCAATGGTTTTCTCATGTAGTCATGCTTAAGCATCTAAAGGCCATACTTAATAGTCTTGCCCTGATACAAAGGGCCATATGTAGCTTCTAATTTAGTGTAATAACCATCGGATTATGACTTCTCATACATGTTGGCTAAGCTCCTGATTGACTGTTATCTTGTTTCAGAACAATGTGAGAGTTAACAGTTACATGCATGCCTATGGCCCTACTCTTGCCTGGGAAGAATCAGTTCTCCCTCTTCTTAGATCAAGCAAGTCTTGTGTTCCACGCCCGTGGCAGCAGGTTCCCCCTTAGCAATCGTATAAGAAAAGTCAACATTACAAGTAGAACACTGTTAGGAAGAGTGAATTCAGTGGGCACTGACATTGTAGCGTTTACATCCAGCTATGATGTCAATACTACTACAATGGCTTCATTTTATGCATCATGAATGTCTGGTAATTTTCCTTTTTGTTTTTGACACAGGAAATCGGATGATAGCAATGGTATAGAAAACAATGCCCCCAGGCTCAGAAAAAATGTAAGTTACTTCTCAACCCTAGGAAAAGGTGAAATATAATATACTGGGCTATTAACCCTTACTCTGGCATTCAGATTCCTAAAAGACCTAGTTCACTGTGTGCTTGAATACACTTGTTTACACAGTAATAGGAAAAAATATGGACTTTTTATACAAAATTTTATACAAAAATTAATGGTATCCTTTTTTTACCAGAGAATAGGTGGTAATTCTCCTGTCTCAGCCTCCTGAGTGCTGGAGTGTGCTAGGATTATAGGATTACAGGCTTGTACCACCATACCCAGCTTTATTTCATGGTCTTTATATATATATATATATATATATATATATATATATATATATATATATATATATATATATATATATAATTACCTTGGGTTGGTTTCTTTTAAAGCTTTCGTGTAATTTTTAAATTCTCAACTCAAATTACCTGTATTCTTTGATTTTATTCTCATATACTTCCATATGGTCGATGCAATGATTTCGTCTGTCATGGCTAATTTCCATAATTGATTCATACTTGTCTTAGTTCATCAATGTTAGGACTTGCTTTGCCAGTAGATGGCAAGCTCACTTTCTAGCACTCCTTTGCTTTGCTAAAATGATAGTTAAGTTATTATAGATAGCATGGCAGTAACTGCTTCATTCTGTTTTGTTTCACTCAGGAGTCTGTGGAACAGTGAATAAAACAGAACATTTTGCCTTGAGAAGATGTGCAAAGAGTTTGTGTTTCTGCTTCCTTTCAAGAACGTGTGAATTTTAGATTTTTAAGAGACAAAAATTTCCTGCACACGCACAACACAACGGTAGCTTTTTAAACCATATAGGCCCTCTCCTACCTAAAGGTGTATTTTCCTTTTGTAATTGCTTTTCATTAAAGCGAGGTAAATTGTTTCCGATGTGTTCTGTGAGCTGTAACCTAGATAATAAGTTTCATCCTGGTCTGGGAGATAAGGGACACAGAACAGACATCAGCAAAATCAGTTAATAATCCACAAATAAATATCACTAAAGATCTGTTTATTACCAAAGAATGAAAGAGAAAGCTTTTTACCAGTTGTCTTAAAAGTGTTTCCCCCAATCATTCATAACTACCTATAGAAGTATTTATAACAGTTTTCATGTGAAATGTATCCTTCTGTGGTATTGAAAGTGTTTTCTCTAGGAAATAGAAACTATACTTTCGATAATGGTGGCTACTCTGCAGATATACTTTTGCTCTATAAATAACGGTGTAAAATGAGGGAGTATAAATCATATGCTTCCCCACAGTCAGTATCAACACCGGAGCTTCACATCTTATCACACTCATTACCGCCTTTTTATACTTAAAGCCTAAATGCTTCTTGGTCTTAAGTAGGACATTTTCCTTGTTCTTTGCCATGGGGTTTGGACCTCATCAGCCCCCCTGGTGTTCATGTTTCAGAGTGCAGATCCATGTGGTCACCGTATGACACCCGCTACCTGCATGCCTTTGTGGCTCATGGCTTCTGGGTACCTTTATTTGCTATCTGGTTTCTGGTGTCACAGCAGGCTAAAGGTATAAAAGTAGTGCCTTGGATAGTAGATTAGGTGTCCCTGGTTGCTGTGGGGGTTTTTGTGACACACTGCTTCCAGAAAACAGGATTAAGAACAATGAGAAACAAAGAGGGGCTGACTTGGGATGGCAGTAAAAGAAATCCATGGTTCTTGGGGATTGAGGGATTAGAGGCTGGGTAGAAAGAATCCACTGATTTAACAATGGAAACTAGAAGCGTATGCCTTGTGCACTAGCTAAGGAAAGGACAAGATTCTGATAGGGAAAATTCTGTAACATTTCGACTCATGTTTACCACTATTACTAGCTAGAATAATACATATAAAATCGCCATGGCAGCTGCTTTCTGTTTTGTTGACGCAACACAATTCAGTATTTTCTAATACGTGTTAACTCCACATGTAGATCATATTGAACTAGAGTGCACCTCCTGGTGGTAGATGTCCTCTTTTTTCCTTAGTCTCATTTAGCCACACATTTGTTTTGCTTTTAATTCGTGCTTAATTTGACAAGATCATCTTGATGAGCTCATGGCAGCCAGTATAATTAGTCTAAACATTTTGAATTCAGAGAGCAAGTCCCACTCAAAACAGTGTGACTGTGATTGGATACATACAAAAGCCCAACAAGTAACTTTGCTTGCAGGATTCATCCATTTGCTTTGCTGCCACTGGCTATTTATGTTGAAATAGTTTTCAAGAAAAAAAAAAAATGCTACCCGAAGGTAAAATAATCTGAAATACTTATATAATGAATTGAAATGTTGACGGGCAATGTGTGCTCTTTATTTTTCTCACGAAGATAAGTTATCTCAGTAATTTTAAGTAGAAAAGATTCTCAAATATTTAAGTTGATTTTTGGCCTTTCAGGGTCTCTCTGGAGTACTTTTGGAAAATTATTCTATGCTTAGTAGATTAAAATGGAACGCTTCTAACTAGCCTCATGGAGATGATGAATGGATTGTCTAAGGACCAATTATAAATTAGCTGCAAAAAAAAAAAACAAAACCAACAACAAAGGCTGAAGCAGGAAAACTACGCTGACTTTATACAGTAGACACCTGGGAAATTCTATTAATCTTTCCAGTTGATGAGTATTCAACACAATAATTAGATTTAATGATGCCATAAAATTTCCAGATAATCTTAAATTCAGTTTACATTAAAATGTAAGTTTCCTTTTACAGTCTTTGTTTTTTTTTTTTTTTTTTTTTGGTTTTTCGAGACAGGGTTTCTCTGTGTAGCTTTGCGCCTTTCCTGGAACTCACTTGGTAGCCCAGGCTGGCCTCGAACTCACAGAGATCCGCCTGCCTCTGCCTCCCGAGTGCTGGGATTAAAGGCGTGCGCCACCACCGCCGGGCAACAGTCTTTTTTTTTTATCCCTAGCTAGCTGGTTCTTCAGACTCAAACCTTAAATTGTTTATGATCTTTTCTTTTTTACTTTATTGACTAGGAATCCAATCCCTCCCCGTTCCTTCAACTTTCTCCATCTGCCATCAATCCTCTCGGCACCTCTCCCGTCTCACCTTCACCAGCTGCGAGATCATGGCGTAGGTTTCTCTACCTTCGCCTCCTTGTCCATCTCCCCACTTTTCACGGTGCTTCTCAGCCTTTCCTCTTCACACAAAGATCTCAAAACCTCATGCCGCCCATCCTCGCCGTTTCTGAGTACTGTACGCCACCTAGTCAGCAATCTCCCTCCAGTGGCTTGGATTAGCCCAGAATGTGTCTTTGATGCTGCCCCTGTCCCACTAACTCAAGATTAGCCTTGAGTATGTTAAGGTGCAGGGGAAACTCTCATGTCAATGGGCTAGGGACCCTCTCATGTGCTGACAGCTCCATGTTTCTTTGTGGTTGGTCTTCTTCCCGGATCCTGACTTTTAGTTCTATGCCCTGTATTTAGTACAGGGAGACCATTATAGAACGTTATGGGTGGTGGTGTAAAATGTGTTTACCTATTTTTAGAAAAAAACACTAATTTTAATTATGACAATTAGAATTGCAAAAGAAAATTTTATAGGAAAACAGGTTGTGTAAATCCTTCAACTGTTGTACAGGGTACATTTACACCTGTTCTGATGGGTTTTAATTCCTATCGCCCTTAAAATCCGATGGTTAGTATGCACAAAAAACTAATTTTTACCTTTTATTTAGTATGGTGACACATTGGCTCTAAATATGCAGGATTTTCGTGGTTATATTCCTCTGTATGGTACAGTTGAGAGAGCTGGCACGTAGGCTCACTCCACTAACATATCCATTCTGCTTCCCCAAGTTGTATACATCTTTGAACATCTCAGGATTCACTCCAGAATTTAATATCACAGCAGCATGTTACAAGAAGATTTATTATTACATTTTGAACATGGAAAGCATACTTTTCATTGAATCAACCTGCTTGTAGTATGCGGTGAGAAAAATATTTACGGAATGGGCGAAAGCGGAAGGCAGAATGGATTACTTTGGAATTTTAAGTTGCAGATGCTTATGTACTTACTACTCTAATGACTGCTTATCACCCTTGAGTTTATCCTAGTCTGTCATAGAGAGAAAGACAACTCAACTGTGTGTTCCATCTTTATTTGCTCTGAATCTAGACAGTGACATGTTCTGTTTACCAGTGGAGTTCCCCATTAAAGATGCATCCCGTTTGTTTAATATTAGCAAATAACATTTGTTGAACATGACACATGCTAGGCACTCACTTTAATGCATGCTTTGAAGTGAAGTGTTCTGTCTAATCCTCAATCCATCTCATGCCATAAAAACAGTCCTTTGTTTTTGTTTTTGTTTCTAATCAATGCAGAAACTCAAGCTCAGAGACCTTAAGAAAACCACACAACCCCCCTGATGATCAGAACTGAAATCAGATTTAGGCTAGGCTGACATGACCTACTTTGTTCAACAGCTCTGAATGGCTAGTCGCATACATCCTAGAAAACGAGGCTGTTATCTTATTGTTAATTTCACTCTTTTAGGTGGTCACTTATAGCATAAGATCCATAATCTCTCTGTGGTTGGGGCCCATGCTTTGTGGTTCCTGTGTCCCCACGCTGGTGCTGGGGATCAACACATATTTAAGACTTTTCTTTTTTCTGGTTGTATTTGTCAGTAGTGAGAATGACCCTAAAATTTATCATCCAGACACTGAACATGAAAAAGATGCTATGTATAACTTCACTGAGACATGTGGAAAGCAGGCCCTCTGGTCTCACATATAGCCCGTGGGGAGGAAGTGGCTGCTCTGTGGGTGTTCTGTCACAGATGTAGCCGCAAGCTGGAATGATTGACAGAAATTAACTTTCAAGAAAATAGCCAATTTTAGCTAATGCAGGGAAATCACCATTTTCAGTAAATGTCAGGTGAGTGCCACTGTGGAGAAGTGCCTATAATAGCATCATTTACTCAGCTTAAAGTTTTATTACTTTAAGTATCTTAGTATGACTGGTCTGTTGGCATTCAGAAGTTGGACTCACGGGTTGTAAGAGAAGTTGGCGAAGAACATCTTGCTTTTGCTGCTGTGTGGATGAACTGGCCAGTTTCTTGGATTTGGACACCTCCTGGTTCATGTGCTGTAGTAGTTCATGTTTATGTGAATCCAGTGAGTCAAGAATGGCAGATTACCAAATTTGCCTGAAATGATTGAAAATCACACATGATTGGAATGGAGAGAAGTACTTTTAGTCCCACAAATGGCTTATAGGCTGCATTTCTTATTCCTTTGCACCTCAATGGGAACATGTTAGGGAAACCTGTTTAGGGTATTGGTTAAAAATATTGCTTTTGTCTATTGTGTTTTATGTTTTACGGCATTTTAAAAAAAATTATGTAGTTCTCATTTCAGAAAACTGTTACAAATTATTTTTCTAAAGTTTATTGGATAATCATGAAAATTATAGATTTATTACATATATAATTTGCTGTAATGCTACTTAATGTTGCAAAAAGAATAGCTACTTATATTTTATACCTTTTAAAATAGATATTTGACCATAAATGTTTAGTTTTGCTTAAATCAAAGACCATTGATTATATTTTTTTAATAGTTGTGTTTCTTTTACATGTGTGTTTAGAGTCTCATTACCGACTTTCTGTATTATGTAACACCAAAAATGTCAATACAGGAACATTGTAAAAATTTCTGTGTTGCATGTAGATTTAATGTACAATTAAGCTCAATAAAATGTACTCTGTGGATTAAAACTAAGTATCATGGCATGTATTTTCAAATTTTTCAATTTAAAAAGGATTGATTCATTTTATGTGTTTCGTGTTGGTGGGTGTGCCTGTGGAGGCCGGAAGAGGACCAGGGAACTCTGGGACCTGTAGTAATTGCTGGCAGTTGTGAGCTATAACACGAATTGCTAAATGGTCTTAATGTAATACCCAGAGCCAGATATTGGGGTGAAAGCTGAAAGATCAGAGGGGTAGAACAAGCCAGCCACAAGTTCTTACCGCTAGGAAATCCTCAGCCCAAGAAAGAGCTACTTCCCGTATACTCGCACCTTAAATACCTTTCTGTGCCCTGCGGTCTTACTTCTGCTTTCCACCCAGCTACATCACTTCCTGCCTGTCTGTACGGACCTCCAGACCTCTATGGTTAACTAGTGCTGGGATTAAAGGCATGTGCCATCACGCCTGGCTCTGTTCCCGGTGTGGCCTTGAACTCACGGAAATCCGGATGAATCTCTGCCTTCCAAAGGCTAGGATTAAAGGTGTATGCTACCACTGCCTGACCTCTATGTTTAATATAGTAGCTGGCTTTTTCCTTTGATCCCCAGGCAAACTTTATTTGTTGGAGCACAGATAAAATACCACCACAGTGTGCTGAAAACCGAATGCTAGTTCTCTGCAAGAGCAGTGAACCGTCCTAGCCACTAAGGTACCATGCCAGCCCAATTGTTTTCATTGTTAATGATTTAAAGGTGGTTCTATAGGCACTAGCCAATGGAAAACACTGATTATTTTCCTGTGTGTACCAAAGATTTGTTTTATTAAACAACTCATCGTTCTCAAGCCCAACACACACATAAAAAGGCTTAATTGAGTCTGTGTTTTAACACATTAAATTGAAAGTCAACCAGAAAGCAATTTTCAAAACACTAAAATATGTTTTGAAAGTTTAAATTACAACTATGACCATGACTTTAAAAAACAAACATTTAAAATGAAATCAGTGATTAGATTAAATTTGCTTGTCTTCTCGGGTAATTTCCTTTCAGCTTTTCATTATCATTTTAGGTTGATTCAGCAAAAATTGTTTCAAAATGCTTCAGGTTTTTATTTTAAACTAAAATTCCATGGAAATATCTGATGTTATAAAAGAGTCAGTATCTCAAATAGGGCAAATTAATGAATCTAATAATCACAGAAAAGATTAACTGTTAAGCAACACACTGGATTAATTTATTAACTAACTACATAGCAGCATGATTAATAGCTAACAAATAAGTGCTTATCATTCCTAGCATGTGAGGCCAATTTACAGGGAGTGAGCAATTGTATTTTATGATTAATTTATAATCATAATAAAAATAACTAATGGCTGGTGGTCAACTTGTAGACATCCAGAACAGACTCTTTTGTTTTGTGTTTTGTTTTTTGAGACATAGTATCTCTGTGCAATCCTGGCTGTCCTGGAACTTGCTTTGTAGACCAGGCTGGCCTCGAACTCACTGAGAGCCTCCAGCCTCTTACTCCCAAGTGCTGGGATTACAGGCGTGCGCCACCACTGCCCAGCCAGAAAAGACATTTTTGCTCATTTTATTACTTTTTATTTTACTTATATTTTATTATTATTTTACTATTATATTTTACTTATATGTTTACTTATTATATCTTACTTATCTCCTGGTAATTGTAGCTGATAATGTTAGGTGTTATAAAACATAAATAATTCTCACTTAAATCAAACACTACTACTAAAATAGCTTCTCAAACTGGTTGTTGTCGCATATGACTGTAATCCAGCTGTCAGGAGGTTAAAATAGAAGATGGTGAGTTTGAACCCAGTCTTGACTACCGGTGAGACCCTCTTCCCCAAAACACAATTAAGGCAAACTTAAGCAAACTGAACAGACTTGGCCAATGGTATTTACTTACATATTCACAAAAATGAGACTTCAAACAGAGTAAGTACAGTGAAAGACAGCAGGATACCTGGTAATCAAAATCGTGGAAACAACATAATTTCTCAAAAGGGTTTATTTTTTAATTTACGTCTGTGCTGTATGTACACATGCATTCATGTTCCCACAGAGGCCAGAAGAGGACATTGAATCCCCTGAAGCCAGAGTTATAAGTGAGTGGGAACTGTCCCAGGCACGTGAACTCTGGTTTGGGGGAAAAGCAGCAGGCACTTTCTCTAGTATCTATTGGGAAAGGGCAAACTGGTAACAGCGGGTTTGTGTTAAGAGGCCATGGCACCGGAACGGGACCGTCACAATGTTGCAATCTGTTTCATGCTGTCAATTCAGAAGTCTGCGTGTCCCGAAAGGATCCTTCAGCAGTGCTGGGGGCAAGCCGGACATTCTAAGTGGAGGGCCACAGCGGGTGAAGCTCAGTGGTAGAGCACTCGGTAGCCGTGTGAAATCCCTGGACTCGGTCCCCAGCTCCACAGGAAAAACAACAGATATTCAACAAGGGACAACTAAGCACTTTCATTGCTAGTTGGCCAACCTGGAAAGAGTGACGGAAGAAAGTTCTCATTAGAGAAACAGAATGATGAGGAATTCTGGAACACCAGGAGAGAGGGAGAACAGTAGACAGGGACAGCGGCCACAGATAAACCTGGAAAGCACAAGTTGCAGACCTGTGCTGCTAGTTACTGTAATACAAATGTAAAGGAGACACTTAGTGTTCTTCTCAGTGGAATAGAAAGAACATCTAAGAAGGCAGAGTTCCCATAATTCACTTCAGCTGGTAAGATGTCAATAGCAGATTTAAACTAGGTAACATGTAATGACTTACATAACCCGTAGAGCACCTACTAAAGAAGCTGTTGAAGGCCCATGGCAAAATCTTTTTTGTTGTTGTTGTTTTTAGAGACAGGGTTTCTCTGTGTAGCTTTGCACCTTCCCTGGAACTCACTCTGTAGCCCAGGCTGGCCTCGAACTCAAAAGAATTTTTTTTTTTTTTGGAGACAGGGTTTCTCTGTGTAGCTTTGCGCCTTTCCTGGATCTCGCTCTGTAGACCAGGCTGGCCTTGAACTCACAAAGATCCACCTAGCTCTGCCTCCCGAGTGCTGGGATTAAAGGTGTGCCCCCCCCACCGCCCGCCATGACAAATTCTTACAGATACAATGAAACTATTAGTGCCTGGAATGGGATGGGGGGAGTTAAGGGAGGGTGTGTGGGAGAGAGTAAGCAAGATGCATAATGTCCATGTATGAAATTGCCAAGCAACAAAATCATTCTAGATGTTCCAGCTACCACCCTGCCCTGCCCCCCCCCCCCCCACACACTGTAATGAAGGAAAAAAAATAACAGCAAGAAGACCCAGCAGATAAGAAAAACTTGCAGGCTCGGGCCTTAATAATATCAATAATACTGTAAATCTCAGTAGACTTTCGTATCAGCAACACATACATTTGCAGAATGTAGATAATGTACTAAATGTACTAAAGAATGTACTAAAGAACCCAACCATCTGCTTATGAAAAGCTGAAAGCCAAGGCTTGGAAATGCATGCCGTGTAAAAACCCTAACTGATAGGAAGCAGGAGAGGCTGTATTGCTACTAGGTCTACTGGATGTCAGGTGAAGAAAACTGCCAGAGACAGAAAGGGTTATTAGGCAATAATAAAAAGAACTGACACATCGAGAAAATACAGGCCAAATGAATGAGTCGCAAAGCACACCAGGAGATTACCAGCAGTCACTGGTAGGACTGAAAGGCAAATCTACAATTTCAGTCAAAAACCTCAACACCCATCTTAATAAAGGTCAGAATGAGTAGAACAGCAGCAGTTAGCTGGCTGGAGTGACTCAGTCTGAAATCCCAGCCGCCCAGGATGCTGAGACAGGAGGATTTTTGTAAATCTGAAGTTACCCTAAACTTCTGAGCAATAGTCTCTCAAAACAACAGTAACTACAAAAGAAACAAGTGGGAGATAATATGAACCCCCCCCATCGATGTTCACACACACACACACACATACACACACACACACACACACACACACACACACACACACACACACACACACAAAGCTGTAAGCTAAGAAGAAACTTTAAAGGGAAATTTTTTTAAAATGTATTTGGCAGAAAAGGAAAATACATAAAACGGTGTAAGATTCATCAAAGGCCACATCAAGAGTGACATTTGTGGCCTTAGATTCTCATATTAGAAAAGAGAAAAAGTCTCAGATCCACCTTAGTTTAAGGAAGCTAGAAGAGAGTAATATAATCGAACACAATTGGTTTTACCCTCCCAGCTAGTGACAGGCGAGGCCACTCATATCGCCGCGCAGTCTCAGTCAGCAGAAGAAAGCAGATAATGAAGACAAAGGAAGAAATCAATGAAGCTGAAAACACAGGCCATACAGAAAATCAATGACGTAAAAATCCATTTTAAAAATAAAGATGAATAAAATTGGCGAACTAACAGTAAGACTGAAAAGGAAAAAAGAAATGTCTCAAAAATGAACAGGTAATACTGCTGTAAAGGACAATCAAGAAATAGGACAAATAACTCTTTATCCCTTTAAATTTTTTTTTTAAGATTATATCATTTCCCCACTTTGATCCCTTTAAACCGTCCCATATACCCCTTCCAACTCTGCTTCAAATCTATGGCTCCTTTTCATTACTTGTCACTATATGTGTGTGTGTGTGTGTGTGTGTGTGTGTGTGTGTGTGTGTGTGTGTGTGTGTGTGTGTATGATATACATATGTATTTGTGAATCTAGTCATCTCAGTCCATATAATGTGTGTTTAACTTCAGGGCTGACTGTTACTGGACAACCAGTTTTCTGGGGAAGAGCACCTTTCCCATTCCCAGCTTTCCTCAGTTGTTTATAAAACGACTCTTATACATAGATTAGCAATTTAGATGATAGGAGCCCTGCAGCTACCATGCAGACTGACTACCCAGGGCCATGCAGCATGCAAAAAGTAACTGAAAAGCTGTACCCCTGCAGGTGATCTCCACTCTGGATGCTCGACTTGACATTTTTGAACCTCACATGTTCAGGCAAGGGCGAAACCCC